GCTTACCTAATATCCATTACATTCGTACCTGAAAATGGATGTAATTGATGTATTTAGGTGGACTTAGGGTAGGTATTCAGGTTTTTCCCCTGACTCGGTACTTCACCGGTCCGTGATACTTATTTTTGAATGAAATTTCCTCTCAAGACAAGGTACCTCGACCCCAGTACAGAAGGCCGATCACCCCACAGTTAATCTTACAACTGTTGGTAACTACCTAATTGCTAGGCCCCTTCTTCGGATTTCCTGCCGTTGTCCTGCTCTTTGTTTTGCAAGTTTTTTTTTAACAATGTCAGCCAATAAGTCAGCCGAGGCAGGGCAACAGCAGCTGTTGGAAGATCGTTTGTTTCGCCATTTCAAAGGCTGGACTTGGTCAGAACGGGCCCGTGATACTAGCTCGTGGCTTTGGGACTTTGGCTACGACATTCAGCGTCACGGCATTCGCCGATGGGTCTGCAAGCACTGTATCCTCATAAATCGTCCCATTGTCGTGAGTTTTGCCTCCTCGGGTCTCCAGAACGCGGCAAACCATCTATGGCGTGAACACAAAACCCCAGCGCCAGCGCGAGAGAAAAGGAGCACGGCGCAGCTGAAGTCAGAAGGCGCACTGGAACCGAACCAGCCGACAATTGCTTCTGCTTTGAAACTGGACGTCGACAAGCCTAGGGAACAGAATATCGCGAATTGCTTCATCTCACGGTTTGATAGGCAGCACTTTCAGCGAATGCTAGTCGAGTTAATCGTCAGTAGCAACCAGTCCTTCTCCTTCGTCGAGAATCCCATCCTGCGAGAAATCTTCGACTACCTGAGTCCGTCCGTTTCCATCCAGTGCGCCAACCTGAGTGGCAGTGCTATTCGATATAAGATCATTCAAGAGTATAATCGCCACAAGCAGACGGTTATCGAGTTGCTGAGGAACTCCTCTGGACTGCTTCATTTATCATTTGATGGCTGGACGTCTCGAAATAAACTCGCCCTGTATGGGATTGCCTGCTTTTTCAGAGATGAGAAGGATCGGCCATGCAAAATCATAATTGGGGTTCCAGAGGCTCATCGTCACTTCGGCTCAACGATCGGCGGGGAGGTTCTCGACGTCCTACACGCTCTTGGCGTCGGTCCAGAGAAGATTGGCTATTTCACGCTTGACAACGCCGAAAACAACGATACTGCGATGGAGGTTATTGGTGCTGAACTTGGGTTCAATGGCCGACTACGCCGAGGACGCTGTATTGGCCACACCATTAACTTGTCAGCCAAGGCGCTCTTATTTGGCAGAAACAGCGACGCGTTTGAGAAGCAATTATCCGGTGCAGAAGCATTATCTGATACCGAATACGCTCAATGGCGCAGAAAAGGACCCGTCGGCAAGCTCCATAACATCGTTGTTGATGTGCGCAATAGTCATCGGTTAATTTACTTATTCAGGGAGGTCCAGAGGGTAGGCGGTTATGCCAATTCCTATTCGCCTCGTACTAACTTGGCTTGTCAAACAGGAAGAAATTGATCGCGCCACTACCCTCAAACTCCGATCGAAGAAGCCGCTCAAGTTGATTATCGATAACGATACGCGCTGGCTGTCACAACTCTACATGATTCGCAGGGCTTTGCGACTGAAAAATTCCGTCGAACTACTACTGATCAGGTACAAGGCGCAATGGGAAGACGAGAATCGGTCTAAAAAGACTGGCCAGGTAACGCAAGCCAAGTTGGCCAAAAAGCCACGCATCCTCCGAGATGAGAACCAACTAACAGACAAAGACTGGGAGGTCCTTTACCATTTGGAGGCCATTCTGACTGTTTTTGAGACCGTGGTAAAGACACTTGAGGGTGATGGACACATCCGTAAGCGTAAGCAAGGCTGGACCGGCTCCTATGGCAATATCTGGGACGTGATGCTTGGCTACGAGTTACTGCTTAACACACTGGAAGAGTATAAACAGCTTGCTGCTGGCTTTCCTGACCCAGAGCACTTCCGCATCGGAATCAACCTTGCTTGGGATAAGCTGGACGAATATTATCAACGACTGGACGAGACGCCGATTTACTATACAGCTTTGGCACTCCATCCAGCCTATCGTTGGGACTGGTTTGACGAAACGTGGTCACATAAGCCTAGTTGGGTTAAAAAGGCCAAAGAGATGGTTGCCGATGTCTGGTTATCCGATTACGCTCATCTTGAGGTTAGAATTACCAGCAGCAGAGGTGACGACGAGCCACCAGCCAAACGGTCTCGGTTTTTCAACCCCTTCGAGAAGAACAGTCGTCTGCCAAGCTCAACACCAGTCTATGCAGCAACTATAATTGGCGACGAGTATCAGGCGTGGCAGACGGATCGTGAGGCTGGCGACGGCAACGTTCGTGATCCAATTCGTTACTGGATCAATAAGAAAAGCAGATATCCAAGGTTATCCAGGATGGCCTTAGACTTCCTGACGATCCAGCCAATGTCAGCCGAATGTGAGAGACTGTTTTCAGCAGCTGGCAAGATGGTCTCCGGATTGCGTACAGACCTAGATGCTGAAATTATTGCCATTTGTCAGGTGTTACGCTCTTGGTATCGCGCAGGCCTCATCAAGGACCTAGACCCGTTACTTAACTCACATGTCGAAAGTAGGCTGGATACGGCCTATGGGGCTTTAAGCGACAATGAACTAGCGCGTGCTGAGTCAAAATGGCTATTGGATGGCGAGGACAGCGCCAGCGAGGTTGACGATCTAGCACAGCGGCAACAGTCTGAAGAGTTAGCCGTAAAGTCTGAAAGTGAGGCCGAATAGGCGGTACTTGGTGGGTGGTGTAAAAATGCACTCATACATCAATGTGTACATCCACTCCACTCAGGTTGAATATGTAGTACATCCACTGAGTAATTGCCTGATATGTATCACACCCACTGTATTTGGCCCAAATGTGGGTGGGTGTAGTGGTTTCGAGCCTTGCTTGCGACATGCTTACCTAACACCAGCATCTGAAATTCCGGGGAAGAACAACAGCAGGACACTGTTCCTTGAGGATTTCGTCTATGGTGGCTGGGGCACAATAGATTGGACGCTTCAACCGACGAGCAATGAATGGGCAACAACAAGCTGACTCAGTCTTATTCATGATAACTGCGGGTTTCAAGTTTACTAATCTACTTATCTACCCGTTGTATAAATGTGGTGTTAGAGAAATGAGCCAGGAACCTGCCGTGGCCCTTAAAGGATGGTATTGGATGGGGAAAGGCCTGTGTACGAAGATTAGTTGAAAAAGCCTTGAAGGCAGTTTTCTCTCTGATTATGATGCCTTGCAAAAATAATTCCTTATGCACGCGAGCGGAATTGGTATAATGCGACAACAAAATCGCGCCGCCGACATAGGAATTAAACAAGGATCACCTCATCAAGAAGTTCACCATCGGAGTTTCCTTGAACCTTCTACCCATATTCGTACAGAGTATGAACCAAAAACTTGTTCAGCCCGACGGGCATTTACTCAGTTAGAAAGAGGAGCATAAAACCTCTTATGATGATTAATTGGAATGGCCTGTGCTCAACTCGTGCTTGAATTGGACGGATAACGCCACCAAATGAAAGTCTCGCAACAAACCCCTGACCGTTCAGAAAGTAACCGCTAGCCAGCTCTCGCACAGCTTCCACTGCTTCTTTCAATTAAGTCGAGTTTCTGGTTTAATAAACCCGTACCCCTTACACCACCTACATCTCATCCTCAGTCGAATATATCGCAGCCACGTAATGTCGGATAAGGCTGCCTCTGTTAGTTGAACAAGCAGACTTGACGTAATTGCTAGATGTCATAAAATCATCGATATCAGTAGTTTGAGAGGCTGGCCAGCCACCCTGATGAAATCAGGTGGCTGGGAAGTCTTCTAAACTAAAGATAAAAGACATGAACCCTTCTGAAGGATAGAAAAACAACAATAATTTTTATATTCAAGAAATAAGCTTAGTTACAGTGGAGTTCAGGTTCAGCGTCCGCCAAGTTTAGTAACCAAAAATTTCCCAATTGGGCTAGCGCAATTTGAGCACAGTGCGCCTCAGTCTGGTTGAAGTAACTTGCTTTACCCCCTTCCAAATCAGCCAATTAGGGCCTCAGGCACCAAGGCCACTATTGGCGGAGGACGTTGGCGGAGGACGTTTCCTCCATCATTCACTTCTTTCACTTTCTGCTTCTCTCAGGTACGACCGAGGCAGCACGCCGCCATAATGGCACCGCGACTCGGAAAATTCATGCATAGGTTGATCCTATCCAAAATCGACCGCGGTGATACGAACGAGAAAATTGCCGAAGATGTTTCCAGCCCCGACCGTAAAGTAACTTCCCGTGCTATCAGCAGAATTCGACAAACCTATGCCCGGTACGGGACTGCGACGGTTCCGCCAAGGCGTACAGGTCCTGATCCCAAGATAACCCCATTGATGCTAGACGCACTATATAGCCGACTTGCAAAAGACCAGAGTTTGACTCGACGAGAGATGGCCTCATTTCTCTACGACAAATACGGCGAAGAAGTTTCTGTCACTAGTATCACACGGGCCCTTAAATCGTGTCAAATAACATGTAAAACGATGCGCCACTCATGGCGGCAGACAAATACGCGATATTATTTAGGGGTGCTCGTTGAAAGAGGATCCTAAGAGTAATTCTGTCATCCGAGTTCTTACGTACCCTACAAGAGAATGACGGAACAGGGCGGTACTTCTTTTACTTCTTTTACTCATTTGGACATGTGTCAATTGGTTCCAATTCATCAGGACAATCGGGCCGTGATAAAATAGCAGCCAATCAAGCTCAAAACCCGGTCTTCAAGTCTGTCTGTGTGTCAAGCTGCCCGAACTCTCAGTAGTACCTCCTCCTCGTTGTCAAAGGTGGAGACCATCAATGAACTTTTAGGACTAGCTACCAAGGCCCCTGGGGTGTACTATGAGAATAAGGTAGCTCTGATTAGTTCCAAAGCGTTACGACAAGCCTGCTCGTTTTTGCTAGAGTATACAAGACATCCTGGTACGATGCAGCGTCATCTTCTGCAAAGCAGGTATTTCCATATTTATCTCAGTGTGATCCAGATTCAACAACATTGCGTAATAGTGCCAGTCGTCGCCGCAAGACGCTGACAGCTAAAGCGGAGTACGTACCGGCTAAGAGGGTCGGAAAACTATCAATCAGTAATCCTCCCAGCCTGAATAGCTACCCTTCACGACATCGGCTGGCGCCAGGGGCTGACCTCGTCCAAGGTCCTCCCTATGTAATCATGATAGAGTTTGACAAGTATAATATAGAGGACCGGCCTTTCTGACCACCCCTGATGGCAGGAACGTTGTCCCGATTCTTCCAATAGAGAGGGACTCCCTCGTCGGAACTACGCTCCGCACTCACACCTAGCTTCCCCTGATTGTATGTTTCGCCATTACGGCTCACAAGTCGCGAAGCATCACACTCAAGATGTGATTGTTACACTTCTCTCCTGCCTGGACTTTCGGA